TATAGTTCTAGCAGTAAAAAAATAACATTTCTTATTGCATTAAAAATAGAATTGCACTGCACTTTTCAACATTACAAGCTCATGTTTTATAATAAACAAACTCAAAAGCAAATCTAATACTATTCTAAAAGTGGCTAGGCATGTTAAAACATTTCTCCCGAAAATACCCTTCAAAACACATACATGCATACATATAAACACATACATATATATGCATACATTCTTAATAATGTCATAACTCTCATATTAATTGTCCACTAATATTAACTTCTATTTTTTGTAACCCCTCCACTAATCCAATATTAATGTCATCAAACCATTCATCATATCACATACATGCATGCATACATAAATCATACAATCTAGAATAGCCGTTGCAATCAAGAAAATAGAGAAAACATAAAAAATAGAAAGATATGAGAAACTAAAAATAAAAATTTGATGAAATTTTTCCCAAAGAACCAAGTAAATGTTAGAATTAAGCAAGTTTGGGTAGTGGAATGGACATTACAATATAAGAGCAATCTTAATTGTTACATACCTACGAATAGACAAAAAATAGGGTAAATTTTAAAAAATTGATGGATGTGTAGTCACTTTGGAATTGATGGATGTGTATCTACGAATAGGTCCTTTGGAATTCCAGTAACTCTCTGGTTCTTAAATAAAGTCTTTCCATATATGTAACTCCCAAACCATATTCCAAATATAAAAAGCACTTAACCTTAGTTCCCAAACAACATTCTCCTCCTCCCCCTCCACTGACGCCATGTGTCAAGCAATCCGAGCCCAACTCAAAGAAGTAGGCTTTGTATGAATGCCCGCACCCATCACCGCAAAGACTACCCAGACGCTTCCATAGCCTTGAATTTGACGAGTACAATGACTACTTCTACGCCGAGTAGTGTCGCTCACGCGTGTGTCTTTTCACCAATCATGCATTTCAATACAATCATCACAAGGAGCTGTTTAATCGCATGGTTTGATTTTGTTTTTCTTTGTTTTGTTAAATACGATGTTAGTCGAGCGGTGTTAGTAATAAACACTAATTTTGTTGGTAGTTCTCGTACAAAATAATATATTATATGTTTCTTGTCCATTTTTCAAAAGTGTTGCTTATTGAATTTCACCACAAGGAAAAGGATCTCCGGCTGGCTTTGTTTATATTCTCGTCAGTTCTTGCTGTTGATCTTTGGTTCTAGGAGTTGTTCTTTGGTATTGTTGTAAATTGGGCTTCTTGGGCTGCTGCCGTTGATCTTTGGTTCTAGGAGTTGTTCTTTGGTATTGTTGTAAATTGGGCTTCTTGGGCTGCTGCCAAAGTAAATATCTTCACTGTAAACATGAGGATCATGTGATTACAACGTATGAGTCTAGATGTTCAAGTTCTTATTGTATCAGATTACATTCTATTCTTTGATAAGGAAAGACACGAAGTTTTTATTTGTATATTGTTATGTAAATAGTGAAAGACAATGTTTGTTGTTTCTGTAAGTTACAAAATCATGTTGTACGAGCAGTTGCAGTACAAATGTTCTGATCCCGTATGAGTCTGAACAATATTTCTCATTGTTGTTATTTATTTATGGTCAATTTTTGGTTAAATTTTGGAGAGAATTTGAATGCATGTGAAGTGATCGGTGTACTAATTATCAATGTAAATTTTGGAGAGAATTTGAATGCATGTGAAGTGATCGGTGTACTAATTATCAATGTGAAATGCAAGCATGGGGAAAGTAATTAATATATGTTTCGTGAAGTGATCGGTGTACTAATTATCAATGTGAAATGCAAGCATGGGGAAAGTAATTAATATATGTTTCATATATAAAATCACCTCAGAATCAAAATTTAAACTGTTATGGATGATATGATGTACTGTCCTTTTCTACTCTTTTAATTAAGTTGTACCCTTCTATTACACAAAATTCTTGATTATAAGTACTTGACTCCTGAGATTCCTAAAGCGTTTCAAATAACCATAAAAAAGCTTTTAGGGAAACATTAGAAGAATAAGGGATTATCTGAGACACTTCGGAGTTTGGGGGCTAAAGCTTTTAGGGAAACATTAGAAGAATAAGGGATTATCTGAGACACTTCGGAGTTTGGGGGCTAAAGTATCGGGATTATGTGGTCCTGTCAAGCGTTTTTACATTATCTGAGACACTTCGGAGTTTGGGGGCTAAAGTATCGGGATTATGTGGTCCTGTCAAGCGTTTTTACTAGGCCTTCCCTATAATATCTAAACTAAGAAATTCGGTTAGACAATGCCCATGCTCATAGGAGGTCGGATCTATCCAATTTCATCTGTATTATTATAATTTTTGAATTTCGATATGAATTAAGATTTAAGAAAAGAAGTTTCGAATCACTGATTTAGGACCATTGTTGAATCCTACTCAACAAAATATGGAAGTGACAATTTGGAGTTTTAGGGGTTAAGTGGAAAAAAATACTAAGGGTATTATGCAAAGCACCTAAAATCATTAGGGGATTTTTTAAAATTTACCCTATTTTTTGTCTATTCGTAGATATGTAACAATTAAGATTGCTCGTATATTGTAATGTCCATTCCACTACCTAAACTTGCTTAATTCTAACATTTACTTGGTTCTTTGGGAAAAAATTCATCAAATTTTTATTTTTAGTTTCTCATATCTTTCTATTTTTTATGTTTTCTTTATTTTCTACTTTCATGATATTACTTACTCATTTTAACTACTTCAATATTTTCTATTCATTTACCTCCTTGTCGCCTATGTGACACAATCCCCACCCTCCTCATAAAGTAGGCACAAATCCCCACCAACACACACACACTCTCTTATTTTATGAGGATGGTGGGGATTGTGCCACATAGGCGTAAAGGAGGAAATCCCCTCCTATAACAAGGATATCCATTAATCTCATATATATATATATGGGAAAAATGAATCTAAGGTGACACCCTAGACTCCCACCTAAGGACACAGCCTAAAATCATATCATTTCCTAATTTTTTTGTGATCCGCTCCGTTGAACTTGATCTACACGTTCTTAAACTCAAACACACCAATTTTGGGGTGAACCCGTCATGTTTTGACCCTTCATCCACTCACCGTAATTTTAATGGTTTCAAATGAATAGAACTTTTTGTACGGCTCAACGAAAGGTCAAACACGACGGGTTCACCCCAAAATTGATGTGTTTGGGTTTAAGAATGTATAGATCAAGTTCAACGGAACGGATCACAAAAAAATTTAGGGAATGATGTGATTTTAGGCCGCGTCTTTAGGTGCACTACAAGAAATACAGTATTTAACGACCAAAATTAGTAAAGGGATTAGTTGACCGTCGTTAATGTGCATATAATAACGACGGGTTTTTAAAGCCTTCGTCAAGTGATTACAAATATTTTAGGAATGATGTGAGATGGGTAACAGTTTTCTAGTCCCTTCATTAATTTGTTCCTAATACCGTCGTTATTGGGTCTTATTAAAGACGAATGGGTCCATTACCTTCATTAATCTTAAGTCCCTAATGATAATAGGAATAGTATTTAAAATTAATATAAATAACCCGAAACCCAAATCATATTCTAACCGCAACTATTTATATGTATTTAACTAAACCCTAGATTAATTTTCATAACTACTGTTTAAATCACGTTTTATTAAACCATATCATTGTCTTCAAAATTCACCGCCGCCCTGTGCCAACGCCGCCCACCCCAGCGCCGCCTCTGCCTCAGCCCGCCCCAGTGCCCCCGCTGCTGACCCTCTCCGCCACTGCCGACCCGCGTTGGAGATCGTCGCCGCCCGCGTTGGAGATCGTCGCCGCGTTGGAGATCGTCGCCTCGCCGCCCCGCCGCCCCAGCAACGTCGTCGCCGCCCGCCCAAGCTCGTCGCCCCGTCGTCGGCGTCGGCCCAGCACCGCTTCTACATCCACCAGCAGCTGGAAGTTGTGGTTTGGTAATTTTTCACTCAAGTCCCCTATAGTTTATCCTACTTTGCACTTTTACCTTAAAATACCTTTTATTTAAAAGTACCCTATAGTTTTGTTTGATGTAATTGCATTCAAGTACCCTATAGTTTCCCCTCCCTTTTTTGGCAGCAATTTATACCATAAAGTTTTAATAAGTTGCAATTGTATACCTTCAATTGTTGCATTAGATTGTATACTTTAAAGTTTTAAAATGTTGCACTTAAATACCCTAAAGTTATATATTAAAACTAACACTTTAATGTACTGCTATAAGAAAAACACACAATCTAATAATAACTTATGTATTCAATGTATTTGCTTATCTTATTTGACATATGTAAGGCAATGTATATAAATACAGGCATACGCATAATTAATATATTTTTCTTATTTCACGTATATGCTAATATATTTTTATAAATACTAACTTAACTATGCAATTTTCAATTAAATAAATGAACTCTTTAATAAAAAGTTCCGTTGTCCGCATTCATCAAGTAAAATATTTTAAATATGGATTTATTTGGTCATTAAACGAACCCTCTTTCTCTGGGCTGGCCTAAAGTTTGACCCTCGAAAATAAAGCCCACTTGAGATACGAGCCCAAATGTAACAACCCTTGGCTGATTTCACGCCATATATATTTATCAATTTAATAAAAAATATGGTTTAGTTTCGTAATATAAATTTTACTAATAATTATGCTTTACAAGTGGGAGTGTTGTGGTTATTAATATGTGAGTATAATCCTACATCGGATAGGATAATAAAGATGAAAGTGAACCAATTAATCAATAAACAGTTTACTTATTATTCATTCAGCTATTCGATCATATTTGATTCGCTATCTCATTTGACAGTAAATGCATAGCTATTAGTTATTCAGTTCATAAACAAATTGAAATTAACTAAATGTGTTTTGGATTTGCTTGGTCATTAAATATTCGTTCAAATTGAGACATAAGCTTAAATGGAAAAGACAATTTAGATGGCAAATTAGTAAAATGATGCTTTGGAGGGGATATTTGTAAATATATACAATGCTTGTTTGTACAAATAAAATATAGTCAATATTTATTAAACCACAATCTAATTATAAACTAATTATATTGTTTTTTTGTTTTATAGAGTCGAATATCCAGCATTAGTACATTGCTTGGAAATGGCACCAAATAAAGATTGGATGGACCTAGTAGATGATGATAGACTTGATCTAAAATATGTAGAAGGGGTTGATAAGTTTTTAGACTATGCATATGAGAAGCTGTTTAATGGTTTCAATCAAAAGAATGGCAACTTTGAAATTCGATGTCCATGTGTTAAATGCAGCAATGTGAAGTCTGGTAATCGTGAGTCAGTAAAGACCCATTTGATTGTTCATGGAATTATTAAAAACTACAGATTTTGGTGTCATCACGGCGAATGACAGGGTGAGTCCCTATCGGAGTTTGATGAAGAACAAGAAGAAATGACAGAAGAAAGCCAGAGTGACGATGAAATGCAAGAAATGATTGGACATTTATTTCATAATTCAACTGGCGTTGTTGCACCTGATGCCACGTCGAGTAAGGATATTCTTGAGCAGGAACCAGATGGACATGCAAAACAATTCTACAGTCTTTTAGGTGACTCCGAGAAACCTTTGTATGAAGGCTCTAAATGTTCAAAGTTATCTGCTTTAGTGAAACTACTTCACATAAAGAGCCTAAATAGGTGGAGTAATAAATCATTCTCAATGTTGCTCCAGTTTTTGAATGAGGATCTATTGCCAGGGGAATCAACACTGCCTAATTCGTATGACGAGGCCAAAAAATTAATCCGAGACCTTGGCCTATCATATGAAAAAATTGATTCGTGTCCATTCTCTTGCATGCTGTTTTGGAAAAATGAAGAAGGTCTTGATACGTGTCAGAGATGTGGTGCTTCTAGATGGAAACTTGATAAACATGGAAAAGAGATCAAGCAAAAGGCAAATGGTAAAAAAATACCACAAAAGACATTACGATATTTTCCTCTTAAGCCATGATTGCAAAGGCTTTACATGTCTTCGAAGACAGCTTCTGATATGAGATGGCACCATGAAAGACAAGTTGAGGACGGTGTGATGAGGCATCCAGCTGACTCTGAGGCTTGGAAAAACTTTAATGAGCTACATGAAAGCTTTGCCGAAGAGCCCCGAAATGTTAGGCTCGGTCTTGCAAGTGATGGTTTCCAGCCTTTTCACAAATTCAAAAGTTTCTTATAGCATAAGGCATGTTTTACTTGTACCATATAACTTACCACCATGGATGTGCATGAAGCAATCCAATTTTATTTTATCTATCTTACCACCATGGATGTGCATGAAGCAATCCAATTTTATTTTATCTATGCTCATTCCTGGTCCAACTGGTCCTGGAGATGCTATTGACACCTACTTACAACCATTGATAGAAGAACTAAAGGAGTTGTGGGCCTCAGGCGTTCGAACATATGATGTATCTCTGAGACATAATTTCATTTTACGTGCAGCACTAATTTGGACTATTAATGATTTTCCTGCTTATGCAAATTTATCTGGATGGAGCACTAAGAGGAAATTAGCATGTCCTTGTTGTAATAAGCATACTCACTCTATCAGGTTAAAATATGGAGGCAGGCAGAGCTATATGGGGCATCGTCGCTATCTTGATGAAAATCACAGTTGGAGAAAGGATAAGAAATCATTTGATGGCACTAGAGAGAGAGGGTATGCAGTGTCGAAGCTGACCAGAGATGACATCCTTAAGCAGGTGGAAGATCTTATAGGGATCACCTTGACCAATCATCCAGAGAAGAAAATTAAAATATCACACGAAAGACGGGGAGATAATTAGAATAAAAAAAGTATTTTTTTTTTATTTGCCATATTGGAGAACTCTCTTATTGCGACATAATTTAGATGTCATGCATATTGAGAAGAATATTTGTGATAGTCTGCTGGGAACAATCATGAACATTAAAGGAAAGACAAAGGATAATATCAAAGCCCGTCTCGATTTACAAGCAATGAGTTTAAAACCGGAGTTACATCCAATCCAAAGAGGAGATAAACTTGTGACGCCAGCAGCTTGTTATACTTTATCCCAAGAAGAGCAAAGCAAATTTTGTCGATTTCTAAAGGAGTTAAAAGTTCCAGATGGATTTTCATCCAATATTTCTCAATGTGTAAACCTTAAAGAGTGTAAGATTTTGGGGTTAAAGAGTCATGACTGTCACGTTCTTTTACAGCGCTTGATTCCTGTATCGATTCGTGGCCTTCTTCCTGTAAAAGTGTGTGAACCAATTATTGAACTTTCCATATTCTTCACTATATTATGTGCCAAGACATTAAGGTATATTGAAAATTAATTTTTTACAATTGGTTTTTAATTCTTATAAATTAAATTTTGATTCAAATTTGATATAGGATAAATTTGATGCTGAGGACATGGAGCAAAAGAGAGAGTTAGTAATGAGACACTTGCGCGATTTGTGGAATAAGTGGCGTGGTGACATGCACAGGAAATATGTGAAAGAAAATTCATTGCAAGTTGCACTTAGAAATAGACCTACAGAAGTGAGTGTTGATGACTGGGATTGGCTAGTTAAGGAACATTATTTTTCTTCAAAATTTCAGGTATTAATCTCCTAATTTTATTAATTTTGTTCCATGTATATTGTTGGATTGTTAAAATTATCTTTTAATCTTGATGTATAGAAAGCAAGCCAACAAAATACACTTAACAGAGGCAAACGAAAGATGCTCCACCACACGGGCAGCAAATCCTTTAGACAAATTGCGTGGGAATTGGTATACATTCAAAACTAATTTCCTATTTATTTATAACTACTTTGTTTTTTAGTTTGATGTTGTACTCATTTTTATTTAATATTTGAATAAGGGTGGCAAGTCAGGAAATCCACCTGATGTGGCAAAAATGTTCCATGAAACTCGAAAGAAAGCTAATGAAACACTAGAAAATAGGGATCAAGATAAATATGTAAGTAGAATATGTGTTTAAGTTTGATAATGATGCATTATATAGTACTAACATATGAATTTAATTTTTGTAGGATGAAATTATTCAAGTCAAACAAGCAAACGCTTCACTTTCTGACATTGAGATAGTTGAGAAAATCTGGGGGAAGCAATCTCATGGTCACATTACTGTATTTGGTGGCGGGACTACTTTGAAAGATTTGAGAGGACCGCTCCCTAGTCGATCTGATCTGGAAGCACGGGTTATAGAAGAAAAGAGAAAGAACCAGATGTTTCAATAACGCTTAGATGAGCAGGAACAACAACAACAAAGGATGTCTGAGTTGGAGTTACAAGTGAAAGCTATGCAAGAACTTTTTTTTAGGCAATCACCTTCATTGACTCCTCAAACTCGAGAACATGTGCAGGATTAGGTAATTATTTTTTGTAAAATCTCTTATATACTTTTATGATTGACTACTTGCACTAAAAAATGTGATTTTTTACTTAATAAGATAATATTTGCTTAATTGATATTTCTTAATTATGTGATTTTTTAAAAAAAAAATTCAGGCTATCCATGCAAGATTAGGATGGGTAGCTCGAGTCTTCTTTTGACGATGATTAGAGGTGTCAGAGATGTGTCTTCCCCAAACTTTTATTTTAATTTGTTTTAGATAGTTTCATGTATTTTTCTTTGGAACAATTAGGATATTAACTCTTATTATTAGTATTGAATATTTGAGGATGGTGGAATTTTATTTATTGATGTTATTAATGAATGGAATTTTTATTTTACCTCTTATTCATTATTGGGTATTTTTAATATGTTTTTGTTGTGAATCTTAGTGTCTGGTTGAGAATAATATGATAGTTGCCTATGAATGAAAAATTTATTATTAATGTATATTAGAAATTTGTAGTCCACAATGACGGTTTTATAAACCGTATTTTATTCATCAACGAAGGAAAAGTACCGTCGTTGATGTGTTACTAATTACCTATTATGTGGACTTTTACGACGGTATCCAACCGTCATTAATTAGTCTTCAACGACGGGAAAATATCACTGTAACTAATGGTAATGACGGGAAAATATCTCATCACTGATGGTAACGACGGAAAAATATCCCGTCACTGATGGTAACGATGGGAAAATATATATCCCCGTTACTGATGATAACGACGGTGATAATTACCGTCGTAAATATTAATGACAGTAATATGTTCCGTCGTTATAGACTCTATAACGACGGGTAGTATATCCCTTCGTGACCCTTTAGCGAAGAGGGCTTCAACGACGGGTGACGAAGGGATTTTTCCTCGTCGTTAGCATACAATAACGAAGGTTTTTAGCTCTTTAACGAAGGGAAATCCCTTCATTAAAGATGTAATTTCTTGTAGTGGTGGGAATCTAAGGTGTCACCTTAGGAAAACATTACCTCTATATATATATATATATATATATATATATATATATATATATATATATATATATGCATATACGAGATTAATGAGTATCCTTGTCATAGGAGAGGAATTTCCTCCTTGAAGCATGCCTTAAAAATCACATGATTGAGCGACATTATGGATAGATCGCTACGTTAAACTTGATCTAGCATATTCTAAAACCCCAACACCACCAAGTTGTGGGGTGAATCCGTCATCGTTGACCCTCCATCGATGCCATGTGAAAAAGTTCTATTCATTTCAAAACCGTAAAAATTGATACGGAGTGGATGAAGGGTCAAACGACGACGGTTCACCGCCCAAACTTGTGTGTTGGAGGTTTTAGAATATGTAGATCAAGTTCAACGGAGCGGATCATCCATAATGATCCTCATCATACGTGATTTTAAGAGGCGTCATAGGAGGAAAATCACTCCTATGAAAGGAACCTCAATATAATCTCCTCTCTCTCTCTCTCTCTGCTCTGCTCTATAATATAATATTATATATATAATAATATATATATATAATATATATATATATATATATATAGTATTATATATATAGAGAGAGAGAGAAGAGATGAAGAGATTAATGGGTATCCTTGTCATAGGAAGGAGATTTCCTCCTTGACCGCCTCTAAAAGTCACATGATTGCAGCGACGATTATGCGATGATCCGCTCCCGTTGAAGCTTGATGCTACATATTTCAAAACCCAACACATACCAAGTTTGCGGGTGAATACCGTCGTCGTTTGACGCCTGCCATCGAGCCATGTGAAAAGTCCTATTCATTCAAAAGCCGTTAAAATTGATACCGAGTGGATGAATGGTCCAAGGACGACGACGGGGTTCACCGCCAAACTTGGTGTGTTGGGGTTTTAGAATTATGTAGATCAGTTCAACGGAGCGGATCATCGCATAAGTCGCTCAATCATTGATTTTTAGAGGGCGTGCAAAGGAGCGAAATCCCCTCCATATGACAAGGATACCCCATTAATGCTCATAATATATATATATATATATATAATATATATATATAACTTACTTATATATATATATATAGTGCATATATATATATATATATATATAGTATAGCAGAGACGAGAGAGAGAGAGAGAGAGAGAGATTAATGGGCTCCTAGTATAGGGAGGGGATTTTCTCCTTGAGCCTCTAAAATCACATTAATTCGACCGATATTGTGGAATGATTCCGCTCCGTTGAACTTGATCTAGCCATTTTCTCTAAAACCCCAACACCGACAAGTTGGGGTGAAATGCACCGCGCGTTGACCCCTCCATCGAGCCATGTGAAAAAAGTTCATTCATTCAAAACGGCGTTAAAAATGATGACGAGGGATAAGGGTCAAACGACGACGGATAGCACCCCAAAACTTGGGTCTTGGAGTTTTAAAAATATCAGATCAAGTTCAAACGAGCGGATCATGCCACAATGGTCCGCTCAACTCATGTGATTTTAGAGGCGTCAAGGACAATCCCCTCCTATGACAGAGGATATTGCATTAAATCTCCGCGTCTCTCTCTCATCTCTCTCAATATATAATATATATATATACTATATATAATATATACATATATATAATACTATATAAGATATATATATAATAAATATATATACTATATGCCAAGCTAGTGTAACTTGTTAGCAACAACATTTCCATGACTGTTGGTGACAAGCACCTCAGAAACCAAATGCATGTATATTTTTCAGTATGAAGAGCGTGCCCTTTCATTCCCATTAATTTCAGTCAAGGATACTCGCACTTCCCTTTCAGCAACCCACATCTTTCCTTTTCTCCATTTTTTCCTTTCAAATTGAGTTTTTATTTTCTTTCAAGATTTATCTTGCAAATTAAGCTTGTCACAAGTTTGCTCATGTCGCATTTACTTATCTCAGTAATGAATGCGAGTGAGCCTTGCAAGTTAAAAGAGTGAAGTTAGAAGAGCCCAAACTCCCAAGCCCGAGGCCATCCTTTCACTGCCTGGAGTGGACGCAGGTGAGTCGGAAATAATAACAACAGACGCGCCTACATGAATTCTTGTGAGCGTTGATTGCATAGTCTCCTTGTAGGATCACCGTTTTGCATTTACTACCCCTGCAGTTTTTTTTTTAGAAAAAAACAAGGGATATACCCTGTTCATAATATTAATGAAAAATATATATACAAAAAAGGATACGAATTGTATCCAAAATTGGAAGATAGAAATTATGAAATTTCAATACTAGTGATGTATGACTTTCTTCTTCCAAACATCTATAAAGGTGAAGAGAGGGCATTGCCGTCATTCACCGTTGACATGGATATAAGGAGGAACCAAAACCAGCCATACATATAGTAGCGAGAGAAAATAATTTCTATAACCCAATGAAACAAAATTATAAAACCCACTAAGTTCTTTGTTTTTACAGGTAAAACAAAAGATGTTTGACTACTTCATTCCTAGGCTGTTAGATACTTCTGCAGATTGGTTGCTCCTTAAGCTTCGCTGCTATCTTCAGTGCCTTAGAGCCACTTCCCATGCATGCCCAGTCATGCAAGACCGATATTGTCTGGTTAATAATTGACTTATAGGAGAAAACCGTATGTTCAAATATGATATTGTTTCTCGTTGTCCATAAACTCCAGCTGACAGATGCAAAAATAACACGCCATAGATCCCCTAAAATACATTGACGATTTTCTAGAGATATCATAATCTCCTCCAAGGATCTTGGCCATGGGAAAGGTAACTGATAATCACTGAAATGCTTCCATACTTGTTTTGTTATTAAACATGAAAAGAACAGATGTTCTCTTGATTCTGCTTCTACTCCACAAAAGGAACAAGTGATATCCCCATTCCACCCTTTTTTTTTGAAGAATATCCTTCGTGTTCAGTCGGTTAAGTGTTAGGAGCCAAATGAAGACACGAACTTTGGAAGGAATGATAGGATTCCAAATAACTTTATGTATCGGGCTAGTAATTCCTCTACAGTTCAGAAATTTGTAGAAAGAACTGACTGAAAACATGCCATTAGGAGTAAGGGACCATTTAGGATGATCTGAGGTGGGGGATACATGGTAGTCCCTAATATGATCCATGAGATTAACTCTATCTGCTTGAGATTCTGGAGATATACTTCTTCTCATCAGTGGATGCCAATGCCATTCATTATCAAGAAAATTCCCTTGGCTTCTAACTGAAGCATTGGAAGAGAAAGCTAGTTTAAAAGACTTCGGAAATAAGCTGGATAGACAGTTAGTGCCGGACCACTTGTCTTCCCAAAATCTAATTTTGTCACCATATCCAAGCACCCAGGATATGTTATGAAAGAAGGCCTCTCTATTTGCTAACACTGCATTCCAGAAGGATGAATTGGATGGATTGTATTGCCTGATTTGAAGAGTTGAACCTTCATTAACATAAAGTTTATGCAGTAAATCACCAGATGAGGAATTCCTGTCTAAACACTTCCATAACCATTTAGTTAGGAGTGAAGTGTTGAAAGAAGAGACGTCTTTGATTCCTAATCCCCCCTCTTTCTTACTTAAGCAAACTTTTTTCCAATTGACTAAATATTTGAATGTTTTTGTTTCTTCATTTCCTGTCCAAAGAAAGTTTTTTCCAACTTTGTCAATTTCTTTGATAAGCCATGTATGTAACTTATAGAAAGACATATAATACAAAGGAATTGATGTCAGCACAGAGTTGATGAGGACAAGTCTTCCTCCATAGGATAAAGAATTCTTCTTCCAAGATGCAAGCTTTCTATAGATGCTGTCCAACAAAGGTTGCCAATCAGATTTTGAAAGTTTCCCATATTTCAGAGGCAGACCAAGATACTTGATCGGTAGACATTCGACTTTGCAGTTCAAAGAAGCGGCCAGACTTTGAGCTCTTCGGTGGATCTTGCCAAAGTACACAAGGGAGGATTTGAAATAGTTGATACTCAGACCTGATATCTCTTCGAAGATGTATAAAATAGTTTTGAGAATGGAGATGTCTTTGAAGGTGCTTTTAACAAAAAGCAATGTGTCATCAGCAAATTGTAAAATTCTCAAGGGGTTGAGAGGCTCTTTAAGCCCAAGAGAGGATAATAAGCCATCTTCTACATTATTCATAATCATTCTGTTGAGGACATCGACAGTAATGTTAAATAACATTGGAGATAAGGGATCACCTTGTTTGAGACCTCGCTTACAGGAGAAGAATTTAGAAGGCGAACCATTCACTAGGACTGCACATTGAGATGAGGAAATGATATGGTGTATCCATGTGCACCACCTAGTACCAAATCCCCTAGCTTTCAGAAGGTCAATAAGAAAAGACCAGTCAATAGAATCAAATGCCTTTGCAAAATCTATCTTAAACATTATAACTTTTTTTTTCCTTTTTGAACAGTAATGAATCATTTCATTAGCATGAAGAATAGAATCAAGGGTAGATTTACCCGCTTGAAAAGCAGATTGAGTAGGAACCACCAAAGATGGTATATGCTGAGACAGTCTATTGGTCAAAATTTTCGAAAAGATTTTAAAGAGACAATTAATAAGACTGATGGGTCTGAAATCTTTGACCATAGAGCATTCTTTAATTTTTGGTACTAGAGTGATAAAAACTTTGTTCACCCTGCAAAGATGAGAGGGATTAGCATATAGAAAATGCATTAAAGCAATGAGGTCTTCCCTAATCAGCTCCCAGAAGGATTGATAAAAAGCTATAGAATAGCCATCTGGTCCAGGGGCTTTGTTAGCATTCATGCCAAACACTGCATTTTTAATTTCGGTCTGAGGGGCTTTGTTTTTTTTTTACCTGCAGTTTCACTGTTGAAGATATACTCCCCAGTTTTTTATTTTTATTCATTGTTGTTTTTTACCTTATAACGAAACCTTGACAGATATTGCCCACCTAGCTGAAATTAGTGAGCCTACTCGTCTGTAAAAAGAGTCCAGAAATTTTAAAGGCAGGTCTATCCGCAACAATGAGACTACAGGGGTGGTACATCCCAAAACAACAATAATACAGGGGTCCATGTGCAATTAATCCTTCTCTTAAAGGTACGTCGTTGATTGCGCACCAAGCTTGAGAAGTGTGACAGTACTCAAGTGGACCTAGGAAAAATGTATTTTCAAGCTTAATAATCTGGAACCATATATTTTAACCATCAAGTTTAGATCATGAGAAATCATGATAAGGATCAACAGAAAAGGCATTAACTTGCAGCACAAATCAGGTTAAATTACAATTGCAAGAGAAGCTCAGACTGGAGCTGCCTATAGTCGAAACATGCTGCAAAGATACATCTCCGATGAGACGATAACTAACTGAGATATAAATAACATTGATGATGATTCTCATATATACATTTTGTTTGTTTTTTTTTCCTCCCCCCTGAAGAGCATTTCTTCGCATCACAAAAGATGAAAACCAATGGCTTGAGGCTTCCGTTTTTGCACGAAAAGGAAAGGATTTTTTACGCAAATATCAAAAAGGTAAGCAAGTTGAGCGGCGATAGAGCTCACCTCTCCTTTCGTTTGAATGAATTCTAGGAAAAGGGCAAAGAAAATCTCAGACCTGCATGCATAGCACATGGAACAGAATCAAATGGATATCTGAAAGCAGGAGAAGTTTTAAGTAAGAATGCCAGAAAAAGCTTTTCTAGTTTCATAACGATCTCTTGTGAGAAATAGAAGTAGATTTTACCAGTACACTATCTTCTGAAATGAATGGCACACAAAAATTTCGAGAACCACAGATTTCATCGAAGAAGAGTAACTAGTTATCTCATGAAGGCTACACTACTTCTTGACAACTTTAAATTACTTGAAGAAATTGTACATATAAGAATCTAACTTTTAGTTGAAAATCAACAACAAATTTTAAACGCAAATAGTAAACCCATATGTTCGACTATGCCATTTTCCTCTGGGTTTCGTGATGAGCATGCTAATATGGCAAGCTAAGAAGGCTATTTTTTGAATAGAAAGAGCCATCTTTACTCGTCTTGTTTGTACAACAATAACAACTACAACCTTTATCACAAATGTTTAGGGTTGGCTACATAAATCTTGTTCTTACTCGTCTTGCTTGTATTCAAACTAAATAAACAACACATTTTCCCCCATGATTCTCTTTATATGGAACTTTTATAAGGATACCTTAATATGTTTCAACCGAGAAACGCCTAAACCAATTACAGGAAAAAAATTGAAGTAAGTTCTCATAAGTTTAGACAACTTTTGGTTTAGTACCTTCCAGTTTAAAGTAACCAAGGAATAAGGTCCAGTGAGAAAGCAAGCACAACAAGAATTTTGAAAAGGATATCTCAAGAGGAGGGTGGGGGGGGAGAGAGAAAGTTGTTTGGCCAAAGTGAATGTTTACCTGTCGTCTTCTACGGCTTTGCAGGACATAGCATGATTGTATTATCAAGTAACATGGAAGAAGGAAACCAGCAAACTGGAGGGATAACTGAGGGGCACAAAGAAAAAAAAATTATTACCAAGCGATTATGCATTAATAAATGTAAAAATGCCTGAATGTCCCCTATTGATGACCACCAGAAAATATGGCACAAAGCAGATGATTGGATTTGAGCCAAGATGTCTTATTATACCATAACAAAATCTCAACAGACCATTCAGAACTTCGGGAATGAGATCATGATCTTAATGCAGAATTTAACATCGTGTTCTTGCAATTTTACTGAAAGAATTTGTTTATGTTCTAAAAACACCTATGTAGGCCTTCTTTCAGAAATATTTTAATAACTATTACTCCCAGTGCAGCTTCTACTAAAGATTTTCTTTAAAACTCTATATCAATAATAGAAACAATAACAAACATCCAACTTAACCACCTTAATTGAACAAATGGTTATCTAACATAATACACTACTTTTTTCTCAGGTTTCAAGAAATTGCAGCCCTTATCCTATCATTGGTTGTATGTCAAGGACATACAGAATTTACTTACATTGAAGAAGTCTGATGCATCCTGGACCATCCCGGCGTCTCTTATAACCATGAGAACATGGCGTACAAGCAAAAGCAGCATCAACTGTACAAATTTAGCTTATAGTTGTAAGTTGTAACCTATATAGTTCAGGAAATAAAGGCCAAAAATAAACAAAGTAAAGAATCTGAACATACAATAAGAGCAACAGAGCGGCAACAAGCAATCCCATTGTTATGCACAGCTGCATATTCTTCATACTCTGCATTTAGCAATTCTTGCTCTGCAGCAGCAATGGCTAGCAAATGGGAGTCATGTAGATCAATCCTTGTACCCCAACCTTGTCTACAGAAAAATAAAAGAGACCATTTAGTTGAAATTTGGCAACTATACAGATAAATGACGTCACTTGCAATCAATCAAAGTGTGAACTTATACATATCATGATTTCACAATCCACTACCTCTTTTCACAACTAAGTGTAGACTTGTAAAAAAACTATTTCCGCCTCTTGTTCTAACAGTCAAACCAGAGACAAAACAGCTAAGTTCTAAAAGAGTTACTCCTGTAGATACCAACCCTCAGAACTTGTAAGAATGTCTTAAAGCCACACAATCCGAAATTATCTTCCTCGCGGAAAAATGATTCATGAAATAGCAGGAATAAACTTGCATACTGCTAAACAAATATATCAACCTGCAACTATGACTAGTGCAAAAGAAGCAGTGAGTGCAAGAAACAAGTGCATTCAAATTTCAATGAGGCATTTCAGAAGCCTAACATCTATATATACTATATTATATAAATGATAAACGATAAAGCCTTAAGCTAATAAGAAAACAACTTATGTATTATTTCTGAGGAAGATATAGCTAACAGTATAAGCAAAGAATCACTAGGAATTACCTGATATCAATGGCTATCACGTCAGAGCTTAATCTGGGTTGGGGCGCAAAATAGTTTGGTGCATATACCTTTGCAATAAACAAGTAATTAAATGCTTTGTCAGAGTACAAAAGAAACAAAAGTATCTCAACAAAATTCGATTATATTTTTTCCATCAAAAATCAAGTTTCAGGAGTATTTGTCAATCATCACAAAATAAATTCGGAAATTTTCAAAAAATTTCCTACCAGAAACATTTAGTTTTATAAGAAGCAATGTTGGAAAGACAAAACTAATGTTTAATACATTAATATTGTACAACATAGTGCACTAAAATTTGCTAATGATTATGCTATCACTATCAAAGAAATCGGCTTAAAACTGTACGAACTTGAGTAACATGACATAGAAGGAAAAAAATCCTCCAGTTCATACGGTATCATAAACCTACTGTAGTCAGAGAAGCCAATCTCTCAGAATGATGAAAATAACCAATGCACAATATTTGAAAGTCGATAATTCTGATATCACATACTAACCTGGTTGCAGATTTCACATGTGATGTCCCCTTTCTTATTGCACCATCTTTGTATGCATTTCCTGTGGGCAAACTGCAAAGCAAACAAGGAAAAAAGTCTGATGGGTCAGCAAAAGTTCAATTTTGACTAAATGTAACAGAATTATAGCAAGCAGGCACTCAGAGTTCAGATTTATGTGTTTGTATATATAAAAATGTAATGGAAGATCACAAGCAGATAATCAAAGAGTTTGTATGTGCATGTGTAAAAAGAAAAGTGCAAAAGGCATCACTAAAGAATTAGATGTGCAAAAATGGGTTCATAACAGAGATTAGAAAATAGAATAAGACATTATACACATTTAGAAACTGCTATAGAAACATAAAACAGCCTGAGAATAAAATATCGGTAAAGCAGAAATTGATGCATAACTACTTAGCAATTGACAAATTTAGATGGTAATGACATGGCAGGTCTCAATAGGACCACTTTCATCATTCCCTGTATCACACATAAATTTTCTCTAGCTAGCTCTTTGGATATGATAAATCTCACATTTCAGAAAAGGGAAAAAGAAGAAGAAGAAGTAGAAGAAGAAGAAGAAGAAAAGCATCGAGACTCTTCATAGGTTTTTGATGTACATGTCTGAGCATCTTAACATTGTTAATTGCATAATCTCAAACAATGTCACTTGCGAAATATGTCATACAAAGCAGAAATTGGTTCCTCGAGTTCTGCTTCCAGTCCTATGTTCTTCAACATTTATCTAATTGTTTATATAATTCTTTCCAGGTCTTAATAGACATATTGATTACATAGTAACACAAGAAACAATCATCTCTACAAGTAAAGCATTTCCCTAAATCGCTAACATTATCCTTTCAGGTTATCCAACTTCTCAATCTGTAAAATGATTACTCCCAGGTCTCACTAAATCACTAATTCTTATTAAGGATTCACCTTTAAATGCATTCCATCATACATTCAATTGCATTCATCACTAATTTCTCATTCAAATATTAACTTAAAAACATTACAGAATAGTAAAAAGGAAAGTCAATTTAGCAATATATATTGTAATGCTGGTCCTATTCCTATGACTAATACCATTATAGATTTTTTTCTTTAGTTCAATTTATTTAATAACTGTGAAGTAAAACATTTGTAGTAGGTAATAGTAACATATGTAATTAATAACACTGAAATAATTAAACAAGCCCAGCGAACCAAAAGGCTCACTTGAACAATGGAACTGATATCCAGAACTTAAAGTCTAAGTCAACAGAAAGTAAAGAAAAGTAGAAAAATCGAACAAATGTGTATACAATCTATAAGTTCAAAGTAAGATAATATAAATTAACAATAATAGATGGGCAACATAGAAGAATCAGATTCTTCTTTGTATATTTGGTCAGCTACTGAAAAACTCCAAAAATGTTAGGAATAAGTATAGAGAATTTTTGTTTACCAAAAACGACTACAGAAAATAGACTCGCTATATATTAGACTTTTAAGTAAAAATTCCTGAACTTTGGACCTAAACCACACATTGCTACCAAATTGAGGCAAATAACAAACTGTACAGACACAAGTGCACCTGTAGCAGAAAAGAACAATTTTTCAAAACAGCCCCAAACAGATTTTTATTTTTCAAAATCAACCCTTTTTTTTTTACCAAAACCGACTCGTTTTTTTATTAGCAGCCTAATCATCCTCCTAAACAATCGGAATCGGGTTGCCAACGCGACTATTTAGAAGGGTGTTAAACCCCAATTAGAAACCTTAAACCTTGAAAATTTATGTCCTAAATAGTCGGGCTTGGCAACCCCGACTATTTAGGAAGGTGATTAGGCTGTTAATAAAAAAAAGGGTCGGTTTTGGTAAATAAAAAAAATGATCGATTTTGAAAAATAAAAATTTAAACGGGGCTGTTTTGAAAATTTGTTCTAGCAGAAAATAAAGCTTAAGCATGCTTTTACAAAAACTAGATATTTTTGCATTCTGAAAGCACTCAAAATAAATATATATGCAATAAGAAAGCAAAATAAACAAGATTATTTTACATGCATTCAATTTGTCCTCACAAAAAGGGGGAGGGCAAAATTTTAAAGATAAAAATCGAAATAATTTTTTATACAAATAAAACAATATACTATCCATGGAACATAAAGTTTTGTTCTTGATTTTTTTTTAAAAAAGAAAAGATTACAAAATGCATGTCACAAAACAAACTAAATGGAGCAGGTGAGTGACCCAACAGCCCCATTAAACAAAATAAAAAACCCAAAAAAAAGGAAAAAAAACATGGAACACAAAAACTGGAAAAACTCACCCAAACTTCTATATCCTTTTTCTTCTAAAAATCTAAGGGGAAAAAGGATAATCAAGTCACAGTAAACAGTAAGTCCCCTAAAAAAATCTAGAGAAAGACGCCCATCTTGACTTTTCCTCTCCTCAAAACCCAACAGAGCTA